CATCCCTGTCCAGGTGCCGTTGGCCTTGGGGACGCCGTAGACGCCGTCGCCCACCAGGTGGATTTTGTAGTTGAAGCGCAGGATCTCGGCCAGCTCCTTCAGCATGTCCACGCAGAAACCCTCGTAGCGGTCGTTGCCTTCCAGCTCCTGGTGGTTCCACTTCAGCATTAAGTAAGGGTTTTCCTGCAGTGAAACTGGGCAGCTGTCATTCCCATCTTAGCCGAGGCGTCCCGCCAGCACCGAGCAGGGAGGGCAGAGCTCACGGGAAGGGTGGGGTTGGGAGAAACTTTGGAAAATGGCTGGTTTGACCCCAAACCTTAGTTTGGGGTATATATAGTTTTAATATAATATATATCATAGAATAATAAAACATGGAGTCAGATCCTCATCTCTCCCCTCACCCCCAGACCCCTGTGAACAGTCACACCTGAGGGCTGGGCCCATGGGGGGGCTGCAGGTGCCCCCCTCCCTTACCAGGATGGTGGTGACAATCAGGGTGGTGTTGAAGAGGCTGTCGGAGATGTTGGAGGAGAAGATCCTGTTGTCCATGCTGAGCCCTTCAGAGACGTGCCAGTGGCCAATCTGCAGAGACAAACAGCACAATAAGGGGATTTATAGGGCGAGGCGCTGCCCATATGGCTCTGCTGAGTGACAACAGCCCTGCAGCTGGCCTGGTTAGGGATGCTCCATTAGCTTCACAACCCCAGAATGGGTCAGCAGACAGATTAACCCTCTGTGCACACAGGGCCACCACCCTGGCCTTGAACTGCCTTCCCTCGTGTCCTCCCTGCAGAGCTGGCAGCTGGCAGCCTTGTGTATTGTCCCCAAATGCCACCAAATTGGTCCATTTAAGCCAGAAATCCCCAGTTTGTGAGCCTGTCCCATTGTGGTGCTGGGAGCCCTCCTGGGTGGGACAAAGCCACTTTCTCACTGGTGCTGCTCCACGACTCCTGTACCACAATCAAGCACTTCCAAATCCTTTCATTCAGGCTCATCACACCCAAATTTACCCACCCAAGCATCGGTGAGGCTGCAGCAAACCCAAATTCCCAGCGTGGATGGGATCCTTTCACTCCGGCTCATCACACACAAATCCTTTCATTCATGGTTATCCCTCCCAAATTTACCCACCCAAGCATCGGTGAGGCTGCAGCAAACCCAAATTCCCAGCGTGGATGGCAGAACCAGTGCCCCAGGCTCAGGAGGACATCGTGACTCAGCTGTGACACAGCTGCCTTCAGCCAGGGGAGGGGAGGAATATTCCACAAAACCTAATTTTAACTTCAAGAGCCTAATCTCCTTCCCTCAGAGCTCTGGGCAGGGACATCACCACCTCCAGCAGCTCGTTCAGAACGTGCAAATTAAACTCCTGCTCTCTTACTGTCCTTAAAGGAGCTTCTGCTTTTCCTCATGGACACAGAGGGGGCTGAGGAGGGCAGCTCCCTCTGAACCCCTGTTGCAGATTATCTTTTATGGAAAATCATTTCCTTAGGATTTTTCCTCCTGAGAATCTGAAAGGCCTCAGGAACAAAATGGAAACAATGGTTATCTGCTGATGTGGAATGCAACAGGTGCATCTGGGATTGGTCTCATGGGGTTGTTTCTAATTAATGGCCAATCACAGTCAGCTGGCTCGGACAGAGAGCCAAGCCACAAACCTTTGTTATCATTCTTTGCTATTCTATTCTTAGCCAGCTTTCTGATGAAATCCTTTCTTCTATTCTTTTAGTATAGTTTTAATATAATATATCATAAAATAATAAATCAAGCCTTACCCCAGCAATCCCTCCTGTGCCTCAGAGCATTGTCCAAACCTTCCTGGAGCTCTGGCAGCTCTGTCTGTGACCATTCCTAGTGCAGGAACAACAGCCCCAAAGTGGGAGATTTCCCACCCATTTCTCTTGGAGCACAGCTTCCAGTGTCCTGCACAGGCTCTGAGTCCAGGCAGAATGAATCCCTGCTGAATTCCCCAGCTCTGCTCTGATTGCCCAGCTCCTGGCCCTGTACAGACACCTTGGAGCTGTGACCATTCCTAGTGCAGGAATGGGAACAACAGCCCCAAATTGGGAGATTTCCCATCCATTTCCCTTGGAGCACAGCTTCCAGTGTCCTGCACAGGCTCTGAGTCCAGGCAGGATGAATTCCTGCTGAATTCCCCAGCTCTGCTCTGATTGCTGCTCTGATTGCCCAGCTCCTGGCCCTGTACAGACACCTTGGAGCTGTGACCATTTCCTAGTGCAGGAATGGGAACAACAGCCCCAAATTGGGAGATTTCCCACCCATTTCTCTTGGAGCACAGCTTCCAGTGTCCTGCACAGGCTCTGAGTTCAGGCAGGATGAACCCCTGCTCTGAGATTCACCTCTGCTCTGATTGCCCTGCACAGACTCCCCAGCAATCCCTCCCTGTGCCTGAGAGCATTGTCCAAATACTCCTGGAACTCTTGAGGCCGTGACCATTCCTGGGCTGGGAACAAGAGCCCCAAAGTGGGAGATTTCCCACCCATTTCCCTTGGAGTACAGCTTCCAGTGCCCTGCACAGGCTCTGAGTCCAGGCAGAATGAATCCCTGCTGAATTCCCCAGCTCTGCTCTGACTGCCCAGTTCTTGGCCCTGTACAGACACCTTGGAGCTGTGACCATTTCCTAGTGCAGGAATGGGAACAACAGCCCCGAATTGGGAGATTTCCCACCCATTTCCCTTGGAGCACAGCTTCCAGTGTCCTGCACAGGCTCTGAGTTCAGGCAGGATGAACCCCTGCTCTGAGATTCACCTCAGCTCTGATTGCCCTGCACAGACTCCCCAGCAATCCCTCCCTGTGCCTGAGAGATTTGTCCAAACCCTCCTGGAACTCTTGGGGCCGTGATCATTCCTGGGCTGGGAACAACAGCCCCAAACTGGGAGATTTCCCACCCATTTCCCTTGGAGTACAGCTTCCAGTGTCCTGCACAGGCTCTGAGTCCAAGCAGGATGAATCCCTACTCAATTCCCCAGCTCTGCTCTGATTGCCCAGCTCCTGGCCCTGTACAGGCACCTTGGAGCTGTGACCATTTCCTAGTGCAGGAATGGGAACAACAGCCCCAAACTGGGAGATTTCCCACCCATTTCCCTTGGAGCACAGCTTCCAGTGCCCTGCACAGGCTCTGAGTCCAAGCAGGATGAATCCCTACTCAATTCCCCAGCTCTGCTCTGGCTGCTGAGCAGCGGCCCCTCTGCAGCCAGCCATCCCTCACAAACATTGCCTCATCCTTCTTCCCTCCCGGATTTCTCAGCCACAGATTAGTGACAGATTAACTTTAATTTCAACAGCCCTCGCTGTTCTCCAATTTGTCCCTCCCCTGCTGGCATGTGCTGAGACTAATTGCCTCTTCTCCTGACAGAGCTGTGGCTTTGACCTTGCTCTTAAAGGCACCAAGGCCACAAATCTCACATTTTGGGGCATTTTCCCCCATTCTGGCTGGCCCCAGCTCACCCCTGTGCCCTTCAGGGGCTCACAAAGCTCCTCCTGCTGCTGTTCCTGCAGTGCCAGGGGGTGTCAGGGCCCCTCACATCCCTCTCCTGCAAGATGGATGTCAAGGTGATTTTAATCATCTCTATCTACATATAAAGAGCCTCCGGAAAATAGAAAACATATCCATCTGCTAAGATTTTTAGAAAACAATCAAATCCTCCTGATGGACAACAACATCCTGTTGTTCTGGCTCTGGACAAGGACTTGAGGGGCTTTAGGGCTCAGGGGTTTTAGGTCTTGAGCAGAGGATGTGATTGGTGATTTATAAATACTGCAGGTGGAGGAGGTCTGTAGCAAAGAGGTAGAACAGCTTTTTGAAGCTGGAACGATGGCGTTGGCACAAAAATAAATACATACAAAGCAGCCAGAAATAAACAGGCTGGCAGAGCAGGGGAGGGGTTCCTAATGATCACAGGAGCTGGAGGGATCCCTGTCCTAGCAGAGCAATGAGGGCAGCACAACCAGGTGGAGATCAGCATCTTTGAGAGAGGGGTTTTGTGAGAGGGATTAGGTGGAGAAAGCCCCCTCCACGTCCTCAGGGATGTGAGACCCCCAGGGCATCACCTCAGCACCTCTCAGCACCCCAAAGAGACCCAGCCCTGCCCCAAACACCCACAGGTATCTCAAGGCAAACACAAACTGTGAAATTCAGGGTGTGAAACAGCCCAGAAAGCCTCAGCCTGGGAGGAGCAGGGAAGTGCCACTGCTCCATCCCCACAGGCAGCTGAGTGCCCCAGTTTAGCTGCTCCAAAGGTGTTATTTGGGTTGGTGGCACAGGAAGATTTCTCATCCCTGTAGAAAATCCCCAGGTGGAGCATCCCTGGCTCACTCCTTCCACCCTGTGAGCAGAGGCTTTGAGGCTCCTCATGGTGTGAGGTGATGAAATACCTCTCAAAGCAGTGATTTTAATGAAATCTGCTTATTTTTTCTGCAGGCACAAAGCAAGACTTCTCCATGAGCTTCAGAGGTATTTACCATCCCCACTCCCAGCTTCAAATTAAGGCAGAGCCAGCCCTGAATCAAGATCTTGGAGCAGCAACAGGGACCCGGTGGGCTCTGATTACGAGTGGTGTTCTAGAGCTTGCAGCCACCAAATCCTCCCTCAGTGTCCCCAGGAACAGGGGGGAGTGCAACCAAGGTGCCCCAAGGAGAGGAAATCTGGGGAGAGGAAAAAGGGAATCACACAAACAAAAGAAGGAAATCCCTCTGAGGACACTGCCACGGGGTTGGATTAATGAGTGACACCGCTGATGCCAGGCAAAAGCTCCTGCACTGAAATCAGCACTGAAAGCATCAATTGTTAAAATAAAGAACCATGATAAACACACACCTCACCCCACCAGCATCCCCCAGATGTCCCTTCCTCCCCAAATGTCCCCTCTGGACACCATGATTGGCACCTGGCACAGCCCAGGCAGGGCTGCAGTGGCACACTGAGTTTGTCAGGTCCTGGGGGCAGAAACCATCCAGAACCTGTCCCTGGGGGCAGAACCCGTCCAGAACCTGTCCCTGGGCTGCTCCTGGGGGTAGAAACCATCCAGAACCTGTCCCTAAGCTGTTCCTGGGGGCAGAAACCATCCAGAGCTCAAATCACTTAGAAACATTCCTACTTTAAAAAAAACCCAAACAGTTGAATTCCAGAACCTGTTTCTGGGCTGTTNAATAACAAATCAGCCTTCTGAAACACAGAGTCAAGATTCTCATCTCTTCCCTCATCCTGGGGACCCACAAACACCACCACAATTATTGTGTTCATTTTTCCCTGAGGCTTCTCAGCTTCCCAGGAGAAAAAACAGGGATGTGGAAATCCAGGGATCCATGTTGTGAATGCCACACAAATGCTCTGCTCCGAGCCTCCAAAAATGGACTAAAACCCTAACTCGTTCTCATCACCACCATTTATAGGACATAAAATTTCACCGAGTACTAAAGCCAACAGTCCTTGTTTGACTAAAATTGGCCTTGTATTTAGGAAAAGCAGAGCTTTCAGGAAAGCATCCTATCTTGATTTGGAGATGACAGACAGAGAATTAATTTCTTTGCTGGACTTTTCCATTAATCAGGCCCATTTGTTT